CAGGGTAAGGAGTCCCAAGCGGATCACAGTAATATGTGAGGGGACAGAAGGGCGACTGGGGTGGTCGTCCCTGGAGAAGGGGGCGAAAGCGCACGAAAGGCACTCTCACGTTAGGACAACTTTGCTCATTATTGAATTAGCCTTTGAATAGCCTCATGCACTCTGTACTTTATATAGCCCTGAATCATGTTGGAGAAGACAAAATGGACATCTCCCACCTACATCTATGTAGGGACAATTCCCTTGAGATTCATGAAACAGAAAAGAGAAACTTCTAAGCAAATTCGATCGACGACCAGCCCGTTCGTCGTGGAGTACCACCATTAAGGCCCACTTATTGCTGTGCCTTTCTCAGAACAGCCCATCCAAAGTACGCCCAAAATCAAGAAAAGTAATAGATCAAGTATTCCCATATTAACAACTCTGTAGGGATAAGTAAAGTTGTGGAACATGCTACCCTTCGTACTATAGTATAAAAGCTCCTTACAAGAATAATGAGATATTCAGCGCTTATTTGTCTGTTAGTTAGGGTTCCCTGATTAAGTAACCATGTAAGGAAGTTACTAAACTCCCCCACGAAATCGATGCCTTCATTTACCAGTAGAAAGTCAGTATAGTAAGCTCAACCGGATCTTTAAAGCTACTTTATCTTTGACAGGAACGCAAATGTTCTCATCAAAAGCTGTAAGTGCCAGTGCTTGACTCATGGCGTAGCGATTACGGTAGTATCTACAGTATGATTCTACTGTAATGCGTAGGTTAGGTACAGTACTCGAAAGCAGTTAAGGATCAAGGAGGCCAAATTCCAGAGTGATCAAAAATGATAAACTCGCCATGGGCTGATCGAAACAGTAATGATTGTTAATCAACTGTATAGTAGTATAATATAAATACTGTAATATGGGGTACTGTAACACGTTGTCCTTTCCAAGAAAAAAGTACAAATTTCAAATTTCAACCTTTCTGACGAAAGTTCACAGTGATCCCGAAGTTTCTGTGATGACCAGTCGTTCCATCCGATCAATGGAGGCACTGATATGATCACAGACAGCACCCAGACCTGAAAAAATGAGTTTTTTGATGGAGATCAAAAATTCCACAGGAAACGTTTTTCATGGGCAATGCTTTTTGAAAAATTAATTTCAGAAATATGAGATGCGATTACGTCGATGCACTAAAGGTTATGCTCTGAAAAAGTTTGTAACGGAAATTTGAGATGTACTTGCGTAGGTGTACTGAAAAAAATGCTTTTCTAATTTCCCCCAAGCAAATTGATTCGAGTGCTCCCGGAATTGTAAAAGTAGTTCTGAGANGAAAATTCTTTTTCATCTTTTGCCCCCCATTTGAATGTAAATTGTTTGTCGAAGACATTTTTGGAAGACTCTTGAGCAAGCCCCAAGGCCTATACATAGAACTCAGAGAGTCTGTTTATTTTGCGGTTTCAACGAGCTGATGACAAGAAGTGCCTGTTCAAGTACATCTGTCCATTGTTCGAATAAATGTAAAGTGTGTGACTCGTCTAATTTTTTTGCATGCTCGCCCTCTTCTACCAATAATGCCCATTCACTCATTTTCAGAATTTATTTAAAAAGTTTCAACATTTTCAATAGCTTTTCGAAACGAGCTTCCACCATTAATACAAGTATACCAGTAATTAGATCAACGTCTGAGATTCCAACATTTTCAATAGCGTTTCGAAACGAGCTTCCACCATTAATACAAGTATACCAGTAATTAGATCTACATCTGAAACTCCATTTTAGTCCCTCAACAGACCAAGGAAAAAGGAGAGACCGAATGACCCGATTTGGATTACGCCACGCCTTCGACTTCTATTTAGCGTCTTATCACCCTCTAACTACGTGCGTACTAACGCATAACCCAATCAATGAGTTGGTGCATCCTGCATGGCGCATCCCAAGGTGGAATTGATCAGTGCTCAAACAATTAATCTTTATTTATATTATATTTTTTATTATTATTAATTTTTTTTATTTATTTATTTATTATTATTATTTATTTTTAATTATTTTATTTTTATTTATTTACACTTATATTATCCATTTAAAAACGAAGCAATAATACTGAAATTTCGGTCTGCACAGAATTCTTCTTCACCCTTTGTTATCTCTTTACTCTTCCTTATTGCGATGAAATCAAGTTTATTTTAATTCATCGCACCCAGTCTTGCAATTAGCGAAAGTTGTTTATTTACAAATAGCTTAATATTTTATTGTTGGTAAAATATTTGTTACTGATTTTTTACTTCACAGAAAAAAGTTTCTGATGATCCCTACCGCCGTTAATGCTACCTCAGGAGGGGAATGAGAGTATGCTAAGACTAGGTAACGAGCGGAAACGACTCCCTGTGTCAGCGTCGACAAAATGCTCCCCCCTTTCATGTGCTGTTAGATGGGAACCCGTAGGCTACGCATAATTAGCCTAGTTGTCTTTTCGCGGCCATATAAAATTGGCCTGTTATGATCGTTATTCAGGAATTCGAAGAGGAGGTCCGATCTAGAATGTACCGCCGGAAAGATTCCCCCCACACACATCCCATATGTAGTGTATAGCACGATTAATCAGTTATTCAATTTAGTGAAGACTCAAAAATTTATGAAGTAACTAGTATAAAATTATGGGCATGATGAAGAATTGAGTAGACTATGATTTTACAATACCGTAATCTCTTACCGTAATAATTACACAACACACGAAGCGTAGCGTACGCTTTTGGGCGTAGTTTATTGGATCATGTATGGCGCAATACCTGTAAAAGAAATAATCATTTTTTAAATGAAATTTTGAAATATTCTAAATAAAAATTTGTTTACAAAAAGCTGTACCTGTCGATGGCTATTGCACACAAATTCAATATTGAAGATGTACATAGGAGGATGTCAGCGGTAGTGAAGAGCTGACAGATCGGAATTCCCAATAGCCATCGACCATCTGAAAATGAAAACGGTTCAGAATAAACTGTAAGCGTGTTTACAAGTTACATCCCTCTTTTTAGAAGAAAAAGGGTTCGTTTTAAGGTGACGTGACCAGCTTACAACGAAAGGGATCTTTCGTTTTTCTCTGCTTCATTGTTGATTCCTCCAATAATTCCATTCCTTTCCAGGGATTTTTACATATTTTATAATATTACTCACCTATTTGACGTTACTTTCAGACATGTCAATGATTTTCTGAATATTTGAGAGGGCAAGAATGTGAACTTCTGAATTACTTTGTACTACGATAAGACCGATTACCATAATTATGTCACGCCCACTAAAAGTGAGCCGTCCACAGGAGCGAGAAAAGGGAGCTTATTTTGAGTGAATTTGTTCTGGGAACTTATACACCGAGTATGAACCCAATCTAAGACTTTTTTTTGAAAATTCGGATGGATTGGGCTTAAAAATAGAATGTTCCACTCCGAAGGCGTAACTGTTTGGACAACATCCTTTGAATCGTGAAAATCCTTGGCTCTTCTTGGAAAAAGCCATGCCCTTTGCAAGTGCAGCAGTAAATTTGCGGATATTTTTTTTTGTTGCCCAAAGATTTCACACCAACCACAAGACGATAATTCGTCGTGTTCTCGGCGTCGTTCAGTTGGCTGTCGTCTCTTCGCATTGCTAATGACGACGCACTCCCCGATTTTCTAGGAATCCAAGAAGTTTGACAAAGAACCCCAGAAAATTTCGGGCCATTCTCTTTGTGAATATTCTCAAATTAGGCACAAAGGAGTGCATTTGAAAGTCTTGGTCGCTGTCTCTTTTTCTCCAGGCTTTGATTGATATATACTTTATTTATTTTAATGAAACGTGCTACGCTTTCAATCAGTCTTTCGTCAAATTTTCTGGTGGCACAATGTCCGTTAGCTGTCAATCTCAATGACATGACAGATCAACTAGACGCCGACGATGTTCCTGTTGAATGAAAGCCTAAGAAGTGTTCGTGAAGAATGTGGGTGGTCTGAGTAAGAATCTTCTACTTTTAGTCGCGGCGGACTTGTTGTGATGTGGAGGATCAATGCTTAGCCATGTATTTTTCTATGCAAGCTAATTGCTGCAATCGTTGATGATTACGGAACTCGCCAAATCGTCCGACTCTTCTTCGGTTGACAATCAGAAACAACACCCAGCCCCCTGGCAATGAACCCCCCTCGGCATCGAATCCTCCCACGGATTTCCTTCCATCAAAAGCAGAGGAGGTCCTGGCATGTACTATAAGCACAGCAAGAAAAATCCGCCTCTTTTTCTAGGCTCAGGCCTACCCGGCTTACTGGTTACAATTTACTTCTACTTTACCTGAGAACTCTTAAAGTTCTCATACTGCTACTATTTTGAGGTCCCCTGGGCAATCAAAGACCAGTTCCCACCAGAGACTCCTTTTTCTGGCCAGAGTGCAACCCCCGTACCCCCCTGTCCAAGGGTGTCCAAGGGAACAACTCGGATTTCATCAGATACCGTTTCATAGGTACGGCATGCCACAAGGTCACCAACTTCACATCGTTTCATATTTCCAAAACGAAAAAAGACGAGGGATGTAAATATGGTCGAGTGAACTCGCACTTTACTAGTACTTACTACAATTACTCAATTACTTGAAAATACTAACCTGCAAGGAATTTGACCACATGAAGTGGCATGACGAATATGGCTACAGCCAAATCGGATGCAGCTAATGAGACGAGAAAGTAATTTTGAACTTTTTTCAATGGTCTGTAGCTGAATACCGCAACAACGACTAACGTATTACCAACGACCGTCATCGTTATGATTACCTGTAAGTAAACAAGAATACTCTAAAATGTAAACTTACTAGTTTGTACAAAATATAAAGAAAAAAAGTGAGGTTTTCTGGGGTTGACAGAGGAGGAAGGAAGAATGGGCCTCTACAAGGGCCTTGAAGGAATCAGCTCCAGAGCACTCCTACGGTAACTTTGGGTATATCGATTTACTTGATAGAAACCTTAACCCCTAATTTTTCCTGCAGAAAATGTATTTTGTGGAGAAGAATGTAGACATATTTTTCGAAAAAAAAATTTTTTTATTCTACTATTTCACTTTTTATTTCAGGAACTATTATACTTTCAAAGCCTACTAGTACTTCTGAAAGTTCCATGTTTCCCATATCAGATTGAACAACTGATCATAACTGTTGTGAAAAGCTTTCGTAATAAAAATACGTATGGCATTTCCGATAAAATGATCCCTAGTGGTAAAAAGGGGTAGAAGAAGTAATTCTACCCGGTAGAAAATGTTTGCGAATACCTTCGATATGAATAATTTGATTGTAAGAGGATTCTTTCTTGGAGGCACAACAAAAAGAGCAAGGGAAAATAGTAAGAAGTAATCAAGTTATTTGGTGTGAATGAGTTTTTCAATTTGAATGGATCCTTCCAGAAAAATGATAATCCAATTAGCCTCGCAGTACAAGAAAGTAGGTCTTTAAACTAGTTCCTCGGACCTTTCCAATTTTCCCGTTCTATGGGCCTACATGTCATGAAGTCCTCTTTCCCAGTTCGAACCTGCCAATCTGAGGATGGGAAAAATAACAAGAATATAGAAATAACTTGTAGAAACAAATTGGTACAGTAAATCCGCCCCGATTTCTGCTTGGGACCGACTTCCCGTTTAGTGAAAACAGCGGAAACATTGTGCGACACATATATCTTTTTACTACCTATCAATTCAACTACGATAGGCAATTGCTATGGGTGGGGGGACCACGTAATTGACTTCGTTTGATGAAAATTCTAGAGCGTGTGTGCCAATAAATTCACAGTAGTTTGGGCAAACGGCCAGGATATTTACTCGAGTGTATACGGCATTTCTGTATATTTGTTCAAAATAAACAACAAGTACCATTGGGCTAAGTAAATAGATACTTTCAACGGCGTTAAGTGGCAGTTGAAATTCTACTGGAAAAAGCTCAAAAGGTCAAATTACTTACTAGTTACTGGGTACTATTAAGTAGCAGACAAGTATAGAAACTTACTAGATAGGTAATTGTGCCAAGTACCAATTCGACTGTGGGGATAACTGTCGTATTTTCTGGTAAAGATGGCGATTCTGTACTGAACGATTCCGATATATTGAGAACACTCTCTCGTAGAGAGTGTATCGTTCCAATTACCATATCCTAAAGATAAATACAATTTAAAAAAAGAGTAATTTCATAAATTTCTAAACGAACCAGTGCAAATGTAATGACATGGACAGATGTAATCCTTAGACTCAAAAGCAAATGTCCACAAATCGTTCTTCTAATGAACGCTACATTACCCAGAACACCTAGTAATGGGTATACTAATAGTAAGAGGAATTGGTTTATGAGATAATTTTCAGTGATAATGAGGTGTAAGTCCTTGAGTTGGGATCTAAGACTATCATCGAACAAGCTTGTCATCATATGAAGGCACTTAATCTCATCCTTATATGGTACCAGAACACCTAGTAATGGGTATACAAGCAAGAGGACTTTGTTAATGAGATAATTTTCAGTGATAATGAAGTGTAAGTCCTTAAGTTGAAATCTAAGACTATCATCGAAAAAACTTGTCATCATGTGAAGGCACTTAATCTCATCCTTATATGGTCCGTGTGTCTGTCTATCGTCGAAAAGCTTCTTTCCTCCGAAAGCCCTTTTAATCAAATTATTCCCGGAGAGATTTCGGATGAAGCGGGACACTCCTTTCCCTTGGAAGGGGGAAACATCGTTGTTTGCAAAAATTCCAAGCAAATCCTTCTTCTTTCACAATTTTTTAGTCATCATAGGATTGACCAAACAAAAGACGATTGCTGAAAGCCTCCCAGTTGAATAAAGCCTAATTTCAGTTTCGAGTTTTTGCGGCTGGCTCACTTTCGTGCGGGGGGTAGCTGAATCTACAAGTTTGCAGTTTAACTGGTAATTTGATTTTAGTTCACCGATGTTTCGACCACGTCACATTCTGAGGTTTCTCATAAGGATCCAGTATCTCGAAGGAGAAACTTGGAATCCAAGGGCAAGCCAGGTGCTGCGCCACTACGAGGAGCTCATTTAGCTATCGAAACATCACAGAAGCTTCCTAGTGATCTATTTGAGCCCGGTTTCGGAATTGAAATCCTTAAATAAAAAAAAAACATGTGTAACTTCGACTTTTTGGCCAGCACCTCATAATATTCTCTCAGAAACCCCAGAAACCCCATAAGCGTTGGCTTAAGTGTGGTACTTTTGTTCCGATAAAATCGATCGATATTCTCCCCCAATCCGATAGAGCAAAAGTGTGAGTGGGGGGAGTTGTTAATGTTAGATGGCCGTTGGTTGATTCGACACACACAAGACTTCAAATGTGGGAAAAAATTACGCGGCGCTTCTTTCATGAATGCATGAGTGTGTATGGTCTCTTATGGAGTGTGAAGAATCGGACGGCCAATGAATCAAACATCGGGATTAAGCCGGGACCCGAGCCGAGTAGATTTAAGACAATGAACATCATCATCAGGGGCAATCGGGTAGTGGGTAGGCGGTAACACCTAACACATCCATTTATTTACAGACGATGACGATTACCAGTTAACTTCCTCGTCAATAGAGTGTTAAATGATTATTAACAACAACTTCGGAACTTGTTGGTAACCATTAACAAGAGTAAAGATTAATATGAAGCTTACTAGAAGTGATTAATCATGGCAAGCAAGCGCCAGATCCTCTTACAGTCAGCTCGAGGGAAGAAGTGATTGCCAGTTTTAAGCTTAGTTATGTGACTTCATGATACTTTACATTACTAGAAGAGCGATACTAGAGGAATTCGAGTAAAATCTCGTTCTCACAAATTCCCTCGGAATTTTCTAGAAGAAACTGAACCAAAATTAAGTTCCTAGACGAGATTGTTATGTGAGAATATCCNTGTGACTTCATGATACTTTACATTACTAGAAGAGCGATACCAGAGGAATTCGAGTAAAATCTCGTTCACACAAAGTCTCTCGGAATTTTCTAGAAGAAACTGAACCAAAATTAAGTTCCTAGACGAGATTGTTATGTGAGAATATCCGTAACGTCATAGCAGAGGCAATGTGGCAGTGCCACTTAGACAGATGGATCACTTAGAGGGTAACTTATGAAAATACTAGTTACGAGCAGAAAATGCAGACAAACTAGTTCAATGATCAAAGCTTGGAACACCGTGACGAGAACAAAAGATATCAGGTTGCTAACATACGTAGGTGATACAGCTCCTTCAGTTGTGATGTGGCGGGGACACCTGACATTCCTTGAAAGCCTACTCCGTAGAAACTCAAAATTTCCAGTTGTCAAAGCGAGAAACGGGAAATTAGTGGGGGGAAAAGCCTGTGAAACCCCAAAAGAAAGCGGTCTTATCAAAATGGCTTGTTAGGCTAGGAAAGAAGGAACGTATTCGGATATATTAAACTGTCTCCGTTATAATCCGAAAATCCCGAGTCCCAACAAAAAAGTGGGAGAAGGACTTGCATAGGGCTGGGCCAGGCCCTAGTACTTTCCCAAACTGGTTGATACTTCTAGGTACTCGAAGTAGTTTCAAAGTTCTCGTCTTGGCTACCTTTCAAAGGCCTCGAATAACCGAGGGCAATGAAGGGGGCATAAGAGAATTCTATTTTTGGAGCTACTCGAGTAAGTTACATAATTGTAATGCTGTCTATAGAGTGAGTAACGTATAGAACAGATACAAATAATGTTTAATAAGTCATACCTGAGTAATATTTGTATCCATAATACTAGGCAAGCAGGGATTGGCTTAGCGACCCTTATAATCGTCTTGTGGGTGGTGTGTGTGTGTGAATCTCTTCTCCCTGGTAAGGGAGGAGGGGAGTGTGAGTGTGAGCGTCAGTTCTTCCTAATGGCCCGACGTGTAACGACGGACCCGCCCACGACGACGACGAGCATTCGGCAGAGCTCTTCGTCGTCGTTGTTTCTCACCACAAAACTCAATCTGATGGTGGTGGTGAACATTTCGCAAAAGCTGCTGCTGCTATCCCCCCACCCCACTCTATTTTAACTCCCCTCCCCTCCTAACACGACGAAAACATTCGATGGTCTAGCTCATATGTGCACTAAATTCGGAATTTATAGCTAATTGGTTACGTTACGCTACACACACCCCATCCCCATCTGGGCTCACCACGACCAACACGATCAAAGTTTTTTGGCAAAAGTTCCGAGGAAAAATGATCTTTACTCGATAACTTCTAATTTACAAAAAAGTATTAAAAGTATGTATACTGCACGTGAGCACTAAGGAGTTCTAGGGAAAACCGAAAAAAATGAATAAAAAAGTCATAGAGAGCTTAATAATGATGACCGGGGGCATATGCTGGCTGAGACTGAGAGCCAAACTGAATGGCCGTAGTCGTTTTGGCTGGTAAGAGGCTGTTCGCATGAGTTCATCTTAAAGAGAGTATGCATTAGAGGGTTTGTTGGAGGAAGGAGGGCCACAACGACAAAGAACTAATTCTACCCTTTTTTTNNNNTTTTTTTCTCCCTCTGGCCAGTGGGATACAAATCAAAAAGCAATTTTGGACATGGAAACTTGATTTTCTCGAAGAAAACATCCCCAGTAACTTACTAACAGACAAAACTGAAGTAACGTACAAAACTGTTGTTTCAGACATCAAAAACGGCATTACTAATAGTGGTATAAAGTATTGAGAAGTAAGTATAAATTGAGTAAGAGTTGTGCATACTATTGAGTATTCATATATGATTAAACTTGTTAGATAACAAAAAGTACATCCCCGCCAACATCGTGACCACAATGGAAGCTAAGCCTTCAGCCAGCCATGTCTACATTCGTAACTATGAAAGGATTACAAGTACGAATTTCTTCTATTCTAACTTAGGGACGTTGTGGGGTAAATAACAACAGCCCGACCCAATCAACAGTAAATACCCAAAACAACAGTATGCTGATGGGATACGGTAGGGATGACATCTTAACGGTAAGGATGCGTAGAAAGTAACTCGAATAGATAAATTAAAAAGTAAAAAAGCCTGGGAGAAAGGTCGTTTTTGACAGTTTATCATACCAGTTTCATAAGGAATTATTGTTCTGGTAAAATTGCCATCTATAAACCTGTAAGTAAGCCAATTTGGACAGAACGAGAAAAACAAGACATAATCAAGAGTGTACTGCCCACACGAAAACGTCATTTCAACTTCCACCTGTACAATGTCTATGCTTGAATAATTCTTTGAATAATTTA